TAACCAGACCTACAGCAAACAAAACAGAGTAACTGGAGTACACAAAAGCCGCTGAGGTCTCACGGCCTCTGTGACCACAACTGTGGGTCTTCATATCCTCCCGCTTTCAAGGGGAACCTGTATTTACAGGCGACGGTACAAAATAATGGCTCTGGGCCACCGTCCACTTTCACTGCAGTCCACATCTGCACTCTCCAAGTACAAGAGGACACTGCATTTAACCCAACAACTGTCACACAAGTACGCTCACTACCACATGGGAGTCTCGCACAATGCAGCTGTGAGCTCAGTTCTCCAACCTAAGAAGCCTGAAAACTGGCCATCAATAAATAAATAAATAAATGTGGACGGCCTCTACAAGTGGTTTAAGAGTTGCTCTGGAACTACATCATGTGGTCATGCATTTGCCATGCCAGCCATGTAGCTACAAAAAAAAAAAAAAAAAAAAAAAAAAAAAAAAAAAAAAAAAAAAAAAAAAAAAAAAAATTGAACCAAGAAACTAATATACCGATAGCACATGCCTCCAAGTGAATTTGCCAGTTTCCTAGTAGGCTTTGGTTTTGCTGTGCTTTTCTTGGCATGAGCACTATGCCCAATGAGGTATTTGCATAACAAGTCAAATACCTCATATGGTAGTCAACTGAGGGAACAGCGAGATGCTCCAATGCTAGGGAAATCGGCTGGATGGACTCAGGGAGAGATGTATGCTCCCCACATGGAACATCCCTAAGGGATTTTTCAGGGTAATATCAACCATATGTGATTTTTCACCTTTTGGTTTCTCCAAATCACTTACAGTAGAATTGGGCAGAATGTGACTGGTGGTCCAGAGTAGACTCTAGAGGTCACAGAAAAAAGCACTCTATTTGTGATGGATTCTGTTTACATTGGTTAACACATACTCAGCTGGCACTGGGCAGATTTTTCCAAAGGTTTCAAACTGTTACAAAGGACAAAAGCAAAGTTCCTTTAAGAAATGTGGTGGTACTGAGATATGAAGAGTAGTGCGTTGTCTTTGAAAGGGAGTTCATAAAGCAGACTAGGCTCTGAGGCAGAGAAACTAAACCACTGGGGTATTTATGGTACACAAAAGGTACTGTGGGGAAATTAAATTTCTAAAGAGGAGCTGACTATATGCAATCAAAGGTGAGGTGAGAAGTTATGAAAAGGGTCTGAGGCAGCTCATAATTAAGGACAGGGAGAAAACACACACACACACACAATCACAAGGAAATACTGAGTAAGTTGGAACTTGTTGTATCTCAGTGTCAGATGTGAGGTAGGGTGGGCACAACAATCTGTCTGTCCCAATCCAAAGCAGACAGGAGGACACGGGATGCAAATATTGGGCGTGGGCTCCTGGAACAGTCAGGCTCCAAAGCTGTAGCTATGTGGGCTGGGAAGACACTTGATCAGAGGGGGTCCAAGACTTCTAGCCCCAGAATGAGCCAGCTCAGGCCTTCTCATGCCTTGAGGGCCCCCAGACAGAAAACTCCAGCAGTCAGGCTAGAAGGGGGGGCACATTCACAGCTCTGCTCCTGACCAACTCACTGTGCATCATAAGGTTTTGGAGTAAGATAAATCTCTAGTCCAGTGATTCTCTCTGGTACCCCCACCATTCCCTGAGGTAGTGCTGGAAATCTGTGGGGGCATTCACTGGCACAAGGATTGGGGAGGGGGCCAAGGAGGCTCCAAGTCCTACAATGCACACAGTCCCATGCAATGAACATTAAGCCTCCAATGCAACTGACACAAATCCTGCCAGACTTTTGTGAAGGTAAAATAACAGACATTTTATAATTATTGGAGTGGAGAACCTAACTCTGTTTCGTATTTACACACTAAGGGTTTTTTTTTCAGTTACATATATACAGATTGTACACCCTTGTTCATAGCAGCATTATTCACAATAGTCAAAAAGTGGGAGCAAATCCAGTGTCCGTCAATACAGAGATAAACGAAATGTGGTATAGGCATCAATACACAGTGGGATAGTATTTAGCCATAAAAAGGAAGCAATTCTGATGTATCTTACAATAGGGACGAACCTAGAGGATGAATCATGTCAGATGGAATGAGCCAGACACAAAAGGAGCAATATTGCATGATTCCACTTACACGGAGTGCCTACAGAAACAGAAAGTAGAATGGTGGTTGCCAGGAGCTGGGGCAGAAAGAGCACGGAGTTGTTTCACGGGGAGTTTCACTGAAGGAAGACGGGAAACCTCTGGAGATGGATGGTGGTGATGGCTGCATGACCGTGTAAATGCCACAGAAGGGTAAGACTAAAAACAGTTAAATGGTCAAGATTGGGTTATGTTTATTTCAGCACACATTAAAAATACACACACACAAACACGGAAGTGTGCAAGTCACAAGAAGACTGGACTTGGTTGTGCTAGAACTCAACCACAACCTGTTCACCACTGCAGAAAATTCAATCTCGGATGGTGACACGGCTCCAGGGCCAGAGTCCCCAGCACCACCTTCCCGCTCTGGCAGCCTCTCCAGCTGGTACATCAGGTTGGGTCTAGCAGGGGGTGCCAGCACCTGGCACCTTCAGGGTACCTTCAAACGTCACCATGTCCGCACACATACACCCTGATACGTGGGATTTATTATCAGTTATCTTCATTTTCAGCTTTCTATTACAGTACATTGAGATCTTACAAGTAGGGGTGTGTGCATCTATTACTTTCTTTGTAAATTTCGTTTCACGTTAGTATCGGGGTCAGTGAAACACTATTTGTTAGAAAAAAACTGAAGGGAGGCGGCCTGGCTTTGGTCTCAGGGAGAGACAGCAGCAGCAAGAGCCTAAAGACTGCAGTAAAGCATGAAACTCAGTGAGTCTCCGTGGATTTCACAGAAGCACCCTTTCATGAGAATTAAAGTTCTTACGGGGAAGGTCTGCTGGTAGTTGGCCCACTCCCCTGAAAAGGAAGAAATATGGTAGGAAAGTAGAAAGTGCCTGACTCTCCTTAGTGATGAAACACAGGCACAGTTAAAATCATCAAATTCGTGCCCAGTAATCAACTCCGACACAGACGAGGTGAAGCAGGTTACACTTTTTTCAGTCATGGGAATTACCGTATCACGTCAAAGGAGATCAGGGTTTAATGGAGAAGGGCACGGTGTGTCGATTGCAATGACACATATGTTGTTTCTCTGTTGCGATCATCCTTCTTTCCATCTCAACACTGGGACATGATTCATATTTTACATACTGTCCAAAAGGGGAATGTGACTTACCAGAAACCATCCTCCACATTTCAAATACAGATCCCCCCTCTGCCAAGAGAAAATCCTGCCCAGCTGTAGATTTCTCATTTGCAAAACATAAGAGCAATGAAATTCCATTACTTAGAGAAACTGGCTGTTCCACCAAACCCCTGGCAACGGAAGCTGTACTTATCTTTCTGAACAATAGCCTCAGAAAATGTATTCTTTCTCTCTCAGACAAAAAAAAAAAAAAAAAAAAAAAAAAAAAACAGTAAGTTTGCCTTTGAGCTCTTGAGAAAGTGCTCTTGTCCAAGCCAATTTCTCTTCGGGAAAATCCACTCCCCTGACCTGGGAAATACAAAGATTGACCCTAAAACATGCAGTAAAAAGAGCTCCAAGTTTAAGAACGCTTCAGAAAGTCAATGGGGATGTAACAATATTAATAATGTCCTTAAAACAAAATCAAGTATCCCTTTAATACATAAGTGACCACGATGTACCCGCTCCCGCAGAAAAGTGACTCTTAGACCCTAACATGTTCAGTTTGTTTTCCTGGAGACGTTTAACTGCATCTTTTCCTGAGGACATAAATGATCCTGAAGTGTTCTGCTTCGCACATTGCAGAATTCATTCAAACAAGAATGGAAAGCCAGACTTTGTTCTCTGTCTTCCCAAGGCTCCTTTCTCTGGGGAGAAGCATGTGGCCAAATTCCAGTGGGTTACATGAACTCCACTCATGGCTTATCTCATAGTCAGAGTTCCCACTCGGCCCAAAGTTTTGAAACGGACCATGAAAACACTCAAGAAATACAGACGCTACACTAATGTGTTTGGAATACCAACAGTGCTGCTTTTCCTGTTCCCCGTTTAATGTGCCGTGTTACATGGCTATGGCCTTGGAGACTTTCTTGTGGGATTCAACATATTACCTAGGATTCTCCTATTTAGTTTCTTCCTCACAGGACACCCAACCATTTAGTCCATGTATTTACCTATTAAAAGAGCAATCAAAATGATCAAAAAAAGCAGCAGAAAACAGTCATTTGTATCCAACTTTGCACCAAGAGCCCATACAAGGAGACCATGAGTAACTGTCTCCCTTTGGGCAACCTGGGGCATCTGAGGCCATCTATGTGACCCTATTCCAGTGTGTTGGATGGTGGGCCAGGAGATCTACTTCCTCCATATAGCAAATCCACAAACCTGCTCTATAAAACCTTAAAATGCTCCGTGAAGAACTGAATAGACAGAGTTGGGAATGATGTGAGTGACTATCCTATCAAACTTTGCCTGCACATCCCTGGACCATCACTTGGTAAAACCGGCAACAGAAGAAAGAACGATGCATTTGTAGCAGTAACTGTGTGCCGCGAGCTGGGAGGACATGAGCAAGCCCCCAGAGCTGCCACGATCTTACCCTGGGAACCAACGTGAACACCGACACAATGTGCACAACAGGGATTGCTCATCTGGTTCTAACTAACAGACAACTCTCCAACGGCTTTTGCACAAAACTGTAACTGAAGCCCACAAAACAGATGCGAGACTAAAGGAAGAGAGCCAAATTGTGAACATGACACTCATAATCTGGCTTCTCTATATTTAATATAAACAAAAACTTAACACCAAGGCAATCAGCACTCCATAAAGTCCCACACAATGGGAGAGTTCTCCTGCCCAACCATCAGGAGGGTTCAGGCCTCCCTCCCTGACCAAACTGAACCGGACGAAGACGGGATGGCATTCGGCCTATTAAAAGACACTGCCCAGCATTCACATACCTCAATAATCCTGTCATGAATTTGCAGGCCTCCGTCCTTGGCTGCGGGCCCACTGTCAACTATTTTGGATACAAAGATTCCTTCAGTGGACGATCCATCTTGGTTGTCCTTTGGGTTAAAAAAACACACACATGAATGCTAGGCATTAACTTGGTTAAAGCTTACACTCTTAAACTATGATGGACTCGAGCTTATGTCAAAAGTGGCAATGGGGTGAAAGCCCATCTGTTACCCCTAATTTCTGTTTTAATCTAAAATTAATACATGCACATGGTACGATGTTTCAAAACCTATCAAAATGTGTAAGTCCTTGCCACCTCCTACCCAGTGTCCTTTTCCCCTTTATAGCATCTATTGGCAGTTTATATACCCTTTCCAAAACATTTTTCACAGATCACCTTTCTTCAACATGTATTTGTTCCTTTTTCATGCATACAAACGGGAGTGTGCTCTCTCAATTCTTGTGCGCCTTGCCTCTTTTGCTTAACTTCACAAATCTTAGGGACTTTTCTCCAGTCTTCCTTTCTACCTCACTCCCTTAAATGGCTGAACGGTATCCCAGTAATGGGATAGTAAGCAGCTTCCAGTTGCCATTCTCAGAGACAACGATGTGTCTCATACCTTCTTCCAACCTGTACAATGAAATATCTTTTGCGGTATTTATCTAGGGCATATCCCTATCAATGCAACCAGTGGTCCAAGGATATGTAGATTTGACGGGCATTGCCAAATTAAGCACTCGTCGCTCATGAGAGTGTTTTTCCATAGCCTCACCAGCATAAAGTACTATTAAAATTTTTAAGCACCCAACAATTTGATTGTGAAAATAGGTGTTTTATGCATGCTCTGATTTACATTAGAAAAGCTCACCACCAGCACCCCAATCCTAATAAATTCTCATCTCCAATCTCAAATCCCTTTAGATCTTTCAAAGTCTGGACTGAAACTTTCTGGGAAAAGCGACGGCTCGCTGCTCAAACTCCTTCCTTTATTTAAAATCAAAAAGCTCCAACAAGCTCATAAAAAAAAAAAAAACCCTCACAGCTTGTTCATGAACTTCTTTCCAAACAGCACTGGGATGAATTCTCTCCAAGTGTGTGGATTAAATTTCTAGTGATTAACAGATGGATTTATAAGTTAAACGGCCCAAGTATGTGTTGTTTCCAAACAAAAGCATTTGAAAAGTAATTTCAGGATCTTCCACAGAAACTCCAAATTCTGGAGTTGCCATAAGGCCGTAAGATGATCTATTTTAAAAATAATTTCTGTATACAGAAATACATATAAATCCCATTTGTTAAAAAGTAACAAGGAAAATATAAAATTTTTCTCTTTAAACAGAAAAGAAAAAACCCATATTCTAAAGGAGAAAGGGAGGACTTTAACATAGTTGAATCGACCGCTTCAAGTGAAAGAGCAATGGATAAGAATAAGCAAATGCACACTCTGTACCTCTTCTCTCTCTCCCTCCATCCTCACCCCTGTCTCTCCAACACACACACACACACACACACACACACACACACACACACACCCTATAAGGTCATAAGTAGGATTCAAAAGAAATCAAAATCACAACCTAAAATGAGCATTAAGTGTTTTCCCCAACATTTATCCCCCCGTGACAAAGACAGGTCTCCAAACTGACATCTGGATTCTATCAACACTCTTCCAAGAGAGAAGGGTCAGCGAGACTGTGGGTGCTGTGCTAGATCAGCCATCCTCAACAGGCAGCCCTGCCCAGCATCACAGCACCCTGCATGGGGCCACTGCAGACTAACCCTTCACTGTCTGGATTTCTCCCTGCCTCCTTTCTCTCTCACAGCCGCCTCACTAATGCACTAATCCCAGCACATTCATGTATCTCCCCACATGCATATCTCAATTTTAAGTACACAGTTGGGCAACTGCTTCTATTTACTGACTACACGCTAGGCAGCAGGCAGGTAGGGAGCACCCTGTGTCCACTGTTTCATCCTTCCAATAACTAAAAATGGTGAGTACTATATTATTCTCCATTTCATAGAGGAAAAACCTGAGACAGAGAGGTTAAAGAACTTATCAGAGGTCACAGAGCTAAAAAGTAGCACAGGTCAGTTTCAAAACTAAAGGCATTCCCTTACACAAGCTCAAAGTGCAATACTGCCTCCTATGGAGAAAAATCTCAACAAGAAGCATTAATTCGGAAGTTCCACATTCCAGGCTATGGAATATTCCACTGGAGAAACCTGAAGAATCTCAATGGACCACACAGGATTTGATTTGTGGGCAATTGTGGGTTCCCTAAGAGGTGATGTCAATATACCCAATGAAAAGAGATCTGCACTTACTCTGAATTCGTTGCTTTGCATTTCTTGCCGGAAGAGGGAGATGGGAACAGGATTTTGACGTTGGTTTGTTTTGCAGAATACTACTTTGTGCACAAGTAATTTTTCTTAGGACAATCAGTTAAGTTCAAGCAAAAGCAGAGGAACAGGCAAAAGCAAACAGCACAATTCAGGTTAAATTAGTAAGACAGTGGTAGGAGGTGGAGAAAGAACGCAAAAAAAAAAAAAAAAAAAAAAAAAAAAAAAAAATACAGCAAGGACAAAATCCAAGAAAACCAAAGCAATCCCATCCTGGAAAGCTAGATGTGTCTCTTCAAAGACATTGCTCGATTCTTTGTTTGGTCCCTCTCTGAATACATTTTAAGTCCAAGTTATTTATCAAGGTGAACTAACACGGCTCGGGATATGTTTTGTTTTGCCAGCTTGAGAAAAGGAAAAATCAAAGGGATTGTTTCCATCAGAGGGGTACCTGAAGATGAAGAATACCCGCCAAAGGCCGAAGTGACAGGTTTGACACACCAGACTGGCTGCTGTGTCTGAAGGGATATAAGAATTAATGAATGAATGATGTGACTCTGCGAAGGGCAGTGCATCATGCAAGGAAAAGACTCATGTCAGCGCCCCCCCGCTGGGCTTATGTCACAACCCAACCAAGCATCTAACACAAGAATCCCTTGGGAAACGCACACGTCATGGGTACTGCCTTCCAATTCCAGTTACTAACAATGAGTGTGCATTGTTGCTCATCTTGGCTTTTTAGCGTGTTCTCAATGACCTGCCAGATTTCCAGGCAACAGTTCAGAATACATTTAGGGTTCATTATGCTATTTCTGCTAATCAGGACAAGTTTTTTAAAAACACTATTGTAACCACATGCATATGGAATTAAACTTTCCTCCAGGGGACATGCACGCAGTTCTTGAAAAAAGACCACAGTAACTAAGAACACTTATGAATGCTACAAAATTCATTCTGGCTTTCACTTCAATCAGCTTTTTAAAGGAGAAAGAAAAAAAAAAGTACCTAAAACATGTACTTTGATAAGCACAAGAAAGAACCATATTCCAATGAGGCTGGGAGTGGCCTTTCTTCCCAGAGAGGGACAGAAAATAAATACAATCTTCACGGCCTTTCACGTATCAAGTTCTCCAACCATCCCCAAGACACAGGCATGCCTCTCCATTTCAAGCATTTTGCCAACCGTGGGCTCCTTTTTCCTACATATGCTTTGGTGAGGCAGAGAACAGACCTTCCTGGTTTGGGCTCTTTCTCCTGTGGAAGTTGCTGAAACATCTAACGGTGAAGTGCATCTTAGCTGGTTGAAGTCATTTCTTGAAACTATTAACAGTGAGTAGGGACAGGAGAAATAATATTTACGAGGCCAAATCAAGGACGGCCTCTGTCATTCGCCCTAAGCGGCAGAGCACAACACATTCTAAAACAAGTTGGGGAACACGGACCGCTCGTTTCCTGGGACCAATTACTTAGACATCCGAGCCCCTCCCTCAGCCCTGCCCTTTGCTGGCGAGTGTGGACTCCTGGCAGCAAGGACTCAAGCAGAGCAGCACTGCAACATGCTGCCAAGCTGTTCAGCCAAATGGCTACAGTCAAAAGGAAAAAAGTACCAACGGGACAGAATTCTACACTTTCTTAAGAAAGTCACCGAGACAAGGAGACAAACACAACCGTGTGTGCCCATCTCAGCAAAATGTCCCCACCCCTCTTCATTCTCACAGTTTAATCTCGTGGTCTGAAGGGTTCCTCTCTGTATGTATGTTTTATAGGACAGATAATGGGTCAGTCCGTCATTTAATGGCTACATATCACCTGTAAGTTAAGTTGTCATTTCTTAAAATTAACCCTGTGTGTTTTTGAAACTGTGGCTTTGGCCTAAAGCCAAGGGAACTCAACCCTCATTTCTCCTCACGCTAACTCCCCCATCTTCTCCCAGTCTCTTTCTGACCACTTCTTGCCCGCTCCTCTACTCTAGCCACGCTGAACTCTTTGCAGTTTCCCCAAATGCCAACTCCGACCCTATTATAGGCTTTGCATGGGCTTCCTCAGGCCTGTTCACTTTCCTCTAGCTCAGTGGTCTTCAAAGATGGGCCCATGCAAAGCAGTGCACTGGAACGATCAAAGAACATACGAGAAATTTTATTCACACTCACATTTTAATTTCATCTTTTAAAATGCTGCTTTTTCCATGAAACTTTTTTAAGTCACGTACCATAGTTCAGCAGTGAAAATATAATTTAGAGCTAACTAAATAAGCTCAATTTTTTACAGTTAAGAGCACTCAACTAAATACAGTATATCTGGGCCCCAAGGGTGAGCCAACCCAGGCACACAGTTTAGCCACATACGGAAGCCTGGTATCTCCTTACCCTTCAGGATTCAGCTTAACATCTTCTCCGCTCTTTCTTGATCACCCTGGCCAGCGACACCCCTTGCTGCTTGGTCTCTACCACCTGCCGTGCTCCCATTTTTTTCCTGCATCACATGTCCCCCAATCCGTAACTGTTATTATTTACCTGTTTCTTGCTTGATGTCCCCACCAGGACACAAACTCCATGACCACAGGGACCCAGTCTCCCTGGCCTCTACAGCATCTCCCAGTTCCTACCAAACAGCCCCTGTTCACGATTTTCTTTTCCTTCCCTTGGACTATTTTCCTTTTACACTAATAGACGAGGAAATGGCGAGCAGAAGAAACGAGCAACAGACGATGCACATTCAGATAACCCCATATGAAAGGGGAGATCCTGCAACACGCCCTTTGCCGTGTCTGGTCCCCAGAGCCGTTTCAGCGGCCATTTTCCTCCCAGTTAAACCTACTGGTCTGAATTTGACCTCCTCTTTCTGGAGGGGGAGCTAATGATGAACGGGGTGAGCTGCAGTGGGAGGAAAAGCAAAGGGACGCAATCGTCTACAAATGAGGAACTGTCCCTGACTAACGAAGAGCTGACAGAGCAGAGCTCCAGATCAGACTTCCAGGCACAGAGTCCCCACTCCAGCTGGGTTACTCTGTTCCAACTGGCCGCATCTCACACAACGTTCTTCACTCAACTGCTACCCAACCAGACATGCCCCCCCCCAAACCTAAATGGTTTAGATAAGTTGTTGTATTACTAGGACGATGCTATTTTAGGAGACCACAACTAAATAAAAACTCCTGAGGGTGAAGATGTTAGATAAACAATGAACTCCCTAATTAAAGAGAGCAGAATGAGGTGAGCGAGGTTTCTACTTCTCACTCCCCAAACCTTGACCCGTCTTCCTCGTACAGCAGAGAAAGGAAAACTTTTAGTAATTAACATACCACACAAGGCCGGCCACCGATAATATTGAATCCCAGGGAGCCAGAGTCTCGATGTAGGACAAGAGTCAGACTTTTGGTTTCTTCTCCCTGTAGGGAACAGAGGAGTTCAAAATTTTATTTACAAACAGGGAATAAATGGTAGCAATTTCCTTTCTATCTAAGCAGACTCACGGGCTCTTAGCTCATCATTAAAATCCTACGTCTCTTGGGTAGTTTAAGCAAGGCAACTTTTAGGGCCCAAGCTGAAACCGTGTCCTGTATTGAGGAGGTTACGAACGTTTCTAGATCCCAACCCTGCAGTGCCCGCATAAGAATGTCTGGCGATGTCCAGACATGTCTAATGAACATTATCTATCAATGACTCCTTGGTCTGCACACGCATCTTTCCTTTGACTGGCCCATCGCACGCCAGCTGTCTAGACAGCTACTTTCTGTTTCTCAACCATCCTCAACAGCGCCATTCTTGTTTTGTCATGAGAGGTTCAAGGAGCAATGCTCTCGGAAGTCTGAGCACATGTATGGCCTGTCAATAGTCATCTGTGTTTGAGAGACTTGGGGGAAAAGCAGTCTGTGCAAAGTCAGACGCGAACGTGGAGGGGAAAGAGAAAAATCCTGTATCTTACTGCAAAGCAAGGGGGAGGGGGGCAATTTCACAAAGTAATTACTGTCCAGTCCACAGGAGATGCCGAGACATTTAACAGAAAACACTCTGTTCAAAGGAGGCTGGTCAGTGTGAACCCCTTTAAATCAAACAAGCAGAAGTCACCCAGGCGGGTCTCACAGGCAATGGTGAACAGTCAGAAGGGACAGAGATTCCATGGCACCTTAGCGAACACTCTCAAGTAACAGACAGATGAATAAAAATAGGTTTAACCTTAGGTGCACACTGTCACTAAACAGGCATTGACATCAACATTAACCTCACCGAGACACCACTGAAATGTTTCCACTTATTTGAATGATACACAAAACTTTACACGTAGGGACTGCAGAGACTTGCAAACGCTTCACTCACGTTTTCTGTTTAAACATGGTATTATTTAAACACTACATTTTTTTAAGATATGAATACTTCGTTAGAAGCTTAAAAAAAAAAAAAAAACCCGTAACAGCTTAGGACAAAATAGATTTTGTTCTGATATTTACCACTTCCTGATCAAACCTTTGCCTTCTCCTTTTTCTGTGGAAATAAATGACAACATTTGAATGGCATGAATGCCAAGTATCTGACCCAGCTACACTGGCAAGGGAAACCACTCTTTCTGACGGGCAGTCAATGGCTTTTCTGAAGCACTGCTCCATTTAAAGCTAGAGTTGTCAACAAAGAACTGTGGTTCTGTATTTGGGCAGCAGAAATGTGCCCAACACTGGGGTGCCTGGGTGGCTCAGTCAGTTAAGCGACTTTAGCTCAGGTCATGATCTCGCGGTTTGTGACTTTGAGCCCCGCATCAGGCTCTGTGCTGACAGCTCAGAGCCTGGAGCCTGCTTCGGATTCTGTGTCTCACCCTCTCTGACCCTCCCCTGCTCACCTTCTGTGTCTGTCTCTCAGTAATAAATAAATGTAAAAAAAAATTTTTTTTTAATGTGCCCAACAGAACCAAATATATGTGTGTGTGTGTGTGTGTGTGTGTGTGTGTGTGTGTGTGTTTCTGTGTGTATGGCTAATGGGCCTCGATATACAAAATTACCTACGTGCTTAAAACTCTTTTTTTTTTTTTTGAATGTTTATTTATTTTGAGAGAGAGAGAGAGAGAGGCAAAGCATGAGCAGGGGGAGGGCAGAGAGAGGGAGGAGACACAGGAATCGCAGGCTCCAGGCTCCGAGCTGTCAGCTCAGAGCCCGACACAGGGTTCGAACTCACAATGGCTGAGATCATGACCTGAGCGAAGTTGGATGCTCAACCCATGATAGCCACCCAGGCCGTTGAAAGCTCTTAGTAACCACAACCGTTTCTCCTGCCTAGTGTACAGAATTTAAAATATTAGAATTTTTCAAAATTTTAAAACTGTTACATAAGCCTAAGCATCAATTATTAAAATCCTGTAAAAACAAAAATGACAATTTTTCATTAGAAAAAGACTTTTAGGGCACCTGGGTGGCTCAGTCAGTGAAGCATCCAACTCAGCTCAGGTCATAATCTCAGGTTCATGAGTTCAAGCCCATGTTGGGCTCTGTCTGTTGACCACTCAACCTGGAGCCGCTTCCAATTCTTTTTCTCTCTCTGTCTCTGTCTCCCCCCCACTTTCTCTCTGTCTCCCAGTCTGTCTCTTTCTCTCAAAAATAATAATAAAAGGTAGCCTGGGTGGCATGATCGTTGGTCCGACTTCCAGGTCATGATCTCAGTCCGTGAGTTTGAACCAGCGTCAGGCTCTGGGCTGATGGCTCAGAGCCTGAGCCTGTTCTCGATTCTGTCTCCCTCTCTCTCTGCCCCTCCCCCGTTCATGCTCTGCTCTCTCTGTCCCAAAAATAAATAAAAAAAAATAAAAAATAAAAAAAAAAAATAATAAAAAAAGAAGAAAATGTTTTAATGAAGAAAGAACTAGTGTGTCCTCGACTCAACAATAAAATACTCACTTCCACTTGCTCGCTTACTTGATATGTAAAACAGTGTTTTAATGTAAAAGGCAAAAACTCTCTTATCAAGCTGCTGTACCTAAGCAAAAACAGAAAAGCCTCTATAATAACTACCAATTTTGCAGATCTCCAATCCCTGGTACCACCATCCAGAGTATCCGTCTGTCAGTGGTACTGATACAATTAAATTTGATGTACACAAGTTACCGGCCAAGAACCCAAGAACGTCACTGTTCTAACAGAATAAACATTCGGGATCAACCAGATAGTTCTGAAATGTAAACGTGAGGATTTGCAAACTGAAATAGTTTATATCTCCCTGCCTTGGAAAAGCAAAATCCTGGTGAGTCCGCGTCTCACTTTGCTATCTTAGAGGGGTGAAAAAGTTAGAAATACATTGGAATTTGACTGAGTTATCACACATATCTTGCATTTCTGGCTTTCCTAACTAATGACAGAAACTGCACGGTTACACAGTAATCCGAGGCAGATGGCTCTAGTCTGGCAATCTCAAATGATGTACGGAAGAGAACGCACAACGGAATTTTTTTAAAAGACTAGTTTCAAACCCACTGTGTGATAACCCTTGCTCTAAAAATTATAGAAAAACCAGGAAATCTTATTACAGGGCATTCCCATTTACTGGCTGCTTACCATGTCCCAGAAATTATATTAAGCATTTATTTAAATGCTTTATTTTCTTTAATAAATCCAACCCATCTCCTCCACTGGCACTCTTACCACCCTCATGATATAGGTGGGAAGAGCTAGTAAGAGGTCTAGCTGCGTTTTAGACCCAGGCTCTCTGATTCGAGACGCCATTTACTCTTCTACACTACTCCCTTTTCATATTGAATACAGAAAAGAAGGCCATGTGGGCTAACCTCTTAGGTCTCTCTCAACATGGTTCAATGGTTGGAGTTCCATAAAGGAACTCCTCATAGGAGCTCTCACCCAGGAAACCAACATCAACACAAAACTCCCAACTGTGCACTGAACTAATTATCTCCAGAAGACCCGATCTGAGATGCCCAGACACCTAAGTCTATACCTAGACTCCCAGATCTCTCTCCAGGGACAAGCCAGAAAATGCCTCAGACACAGCATTCCTCAGCCAAACAGCGATTTGCAAAGAACATTTTGGAACAATCAGTTTGACCATCTAAACTTCCCTGCCAGATGCAATCGCTGGAGAGAAAGAAGGGGTATTCTCATTTCTACAAGCATCTTGATGTAGTCTGCTGTCCAGGAAGGTAAGAACTGGCTTCAAGTGCCACTGCCTATTTTAGGACTGATTTGTAATAGTGAGCCAACGCAGGCAAGACTCACCACACAATGCCGGGAGCAACAAAAGAAGAGAAAAGCTGCGTCTGGGCTGAATTTCTTTCATTTCTCCATCTAACTTCCAGAGGTCTCTTCGCCTCTGACACCACGAACTTGACTCTGGTTTTCCCTTTCCATTCCTTTCCCCACAAAGCAATCTCAACTACTCTACTTTTTAATTCTTCACCAAGAAACATTAATCAAGAATTTAAACACTGGGCTTCACACAACGTATTTAACACGTTAACATTAATTCCTGCTTATATCATTTAACCTGGTACTGAGCTGAAAATGCTTCAGGATGGAGGGCATTCAAATGATTCTGGCTCAATTATGCTCTATGTAATTAAAGAGACATATATAAATGGGACAAGGGCAAAGGCTCCTGTCAATGCCACTTTGCTGACTTTTCACGGAAATGTTTACAAGGGGTTCTTTCGTCTAAAGAAAAATTTAACCGATATTAATCTGTACGGGGAGTTTATCATAACCCATGCTTTGAAATTTTCTCAATGGCCTAATGAAGTAATACAAACAAGGGGAAGAGCTCTATTTCACATAAACAACTGACTAAAGGGTCAGCTTTCTGAAGCAGGCACTGTATTCACACTCTAACCTGAGAAACTGAGGCTTCAAGAAATTCAGACACTTGCTTAAGATCACACAGCTGCAAAGAGGGAGAGCCAGGAATCAAGATCCATGGGACTCCAACGTCCGTGTTCTTTGTATTCCATGGGTAAATTCTGGCACTGTATCTTAAATCCTTTTGCCTCACAAGAGTGAACCTCCACATTAAAATGTCATGAAGGATTAGACATCTAATTAGTTTTGTAATCAGAGTTTTAAGCAAGGTTTCTTTGGACTATGTAATAACAGTGGCAAAGATTAGAGTGTCTATTATACCGTGAAGGGTATCATAAGAGTATTACGCCCCTGACAGGAACGGGGTGATGGTTAAGATCTCGGACTGCACAGTCAGAACCTGAGGTGAGTTTCCTCATCCCCAGAATGGGCATAATAATGGTTTCTTCTCACATCACGGGGTTATTATAAAGCATGAATGAGATAGACAACCGCCAACCAGTGCCTCAGTACAGTGCCTGGCCAACAGACTTGCTCACAAGATGAACAGGGGCACAGTGTGTGGTGAACGCTATGACACTGAGCACTGAGGGCCCTGGTTCTCTTTA